GCTTGAGCCCATACAGGCTCTTTCTCAGCTCCAGCACCAGCTCGCTCGCGTTCGCAACGCCATGCACTCGCAGCGTCTCCTCTGAGACCGGAATGCCGCGCGGCATCTAAAGGAAGATGCGGAGGTGTGGCTTCTTGTCCGCTTTGACGTAGGAGTTAAGGATGTCGCCGTTCTTGGCAGGCACCCCCTTGTCGCCGCAAGCACCAGGATCACTTTACCGTCTACAGGTCCATCACGGCAGCGAAGGTGAGCGTGTAGTCGACGCCGAGCACCAGCTAGTTGCCGCACGCCACCAATCGCGGCTTCAGCCGCTCGAGGCTGACGCCACTTAATGCGCATCCGTCTTGGTCTTGTAGGCCTATTTGGTGTGCAGCGCGTGCGTCCCTGGCGTTCGCTTTGTGATCATCCAGACGTCGTTGGCCTCGAGCGCGGCGACCTCCTCTTGCATAGCCTCCTCCCACTCGTCGCGCTTGCCGCTGCGCATCGCCTGTCCGTAGTTGACCGGATCGTGCTCAAAAACAGCGTTCACGACCTCTTCGCTCGCGGCTACCTCCTCCTGACGAGTAGCCGCTTCTACGCTTTTCGACGCGCCCCGTGTTCCATGCGCCGCCCGCGTCCATCGCTTCCGCTCTTCTTCCGCGTCGCGCTTTTCCCCTCTACGCGACCACCATTCACCGCTGCTGCTGATATGTCCGGCTCTGTAAGGTCTACTGCTCGACCGCCGACGTCCATCGAGCGCTGAAGCTGCGCGTTTTGCGCCTCCTTCAGCGTCTCGATGCTCTTGATGTGCTGCGTGACGACCACTTTGTTGTCACGCGGTAGCAGCACCTTGTAGCCCTTGGTTTCCTCGCTGACGCCGACAATGATGGCGCGTTTCTAGCGCTGCAACAGCGAGTTCTTGCCTGGGTCCCTGTACACGTCGCACGGGAAGCCGAAGAAGACGATTCCGCGCAGATCCGGCGTCTTTCCCGTCAGCACCTCGAGTGGTGGCGCTCTCTTTGCGTTAGCTCGCGTATGGATCCGGTTGAGGATGTGCACGGCGTATTGCACCGCGTCTCCCCAGAACGTCAGTGGCAGCGCGCAGGCAAACATCATACTGCACGCGAGGTTCAGCAATGTGCGGTGCATTTGTTCCGCCTTGCCGTTTGAAGCTTGGTTGCGCGCCTCCGACACTTGGCGCGCGACAACCGTGCGCTCGCAGAACAGGTTCACGTTGGCGTATTCGCCGCCGCCATCCGTGCGGAGCACGTGGATCTTAAACCCGAAAAGATTCTCGAAGTGAACGAGGAATGCCTCGAACTGCTTCGCCGCAGCTTCCTTTGTGCGCGCGAGGAAGACTCGGCAGTAGTTGCTCTTGTGATCAATGAAGTTCACACGGTAACGATTGCCGAGTAGGTCCTGCAGCGTCATGGGACCCTTGAAGTTTGAGCAGATGACGCCGACGATGCGATCGATGGGCGAGTGCGCGCCGCTATCTTATTGCGACTGCGCGATGCGCGTCTGCTTGTCCTCGAGGCACGACACGCACTCCATGCTGTTGTTGTTGCTTCTCAGTCGAATGCCCGATGCCGGGTCTCGCGCCATGCGTTCGATTTTGTCGGATGCGAGGCGGCCGAGTCGCTGGTCCCAATGCAACAGCGAGGCTTCGTGCGGCTCGTCGGCGGTGGTTTCTGTTGCATGCGCTTCGAGCGCCGCCATGATCGCGTCGCCGCCTGCTCCCTTCTTTTCACGCGTGGCCTTCGTCGCGACATACAGCACGTTACTATCGAACACGACATCGAACGCGAACGCACCATCGCTGCCTCGATCGAGCGAGCGCTCGTCGCCGTCGTGCACGAGGGCAAACCCTTTGTTCTCAAGATTGCCGTACGACACAATGTTCTTTACCAGTCGTGGCGCCAGGTACACGTCCGTGAGCGTCACGACAGCCTTCGCGCCACGCGCGAGAACCTCTAGGCGCACGCTGCCGACACGCGTCAGGTGCAGCGACTTGCCGTCTCTCATCGCGATCTCGTGGCTGCAAGCCGTCGAGTTGAGCAGCAGTGACTCGTCGTTGACGAGATGCCGGATCGCGCCACTGTCGAGGATCCAGTATCCTCGGTCGGCGCCCCTGGCATCGGTCGCCGCAAGCACGAAGCCACGCGTGCCGTCCGTGGCTTGTGCTTCGTCACTTGTTGCAAGCACGAAGCCGCATGAGTCGTCCATGGCTCGCGCTACATCTCTTGCATTGCTCTCTGCTGTGTCATTGCCGCGCGATCCCTTCTTCGTCTTCCTGTTGCGCTTCTTCGTGGGCGCACTACACTTCCCGGTCAGCGTGAGGATCATGCTGGCGCCTCCACCCTTTGCGGGTGTCTAGTCGTCGTTCACGACGCGCGCGCGAATGTCTGCCGCGATGTGCCCCGATCGCCCGCATCGGTAGCACGTGATCGCGTTCTTGAGTTTTGCCTTCCACGTGCACGACGACGACCTAAAGACCCACTGCGCTGCTGCCATAATAAATAGACTGCGCGAAGTGCGCCAGCTCCTCGGTGTGGCGCAGGTAGTCGACTTGCGTGGGTTCATACTTGTAACGAATCAATTTATCAGCTCCGGAGAAGCGTGGTGGAAGATATTATCAAGAACAAGCGAGTCGGCATCACCACGCGCCTCGCTGCCGGCGACCATATACAGGACGTGCTCGTCCCAGGTTTGTCGTGCGTCCTTCTTGGCTATGAACAGCTTCCTTGCCTGGCTTGCAGTTATTGACGTCTCAAACGTGCGCAGGAGCTGCTCCATTTTGTACTCCGGTGTGGGTGTCTGCATCCAACAGGTGTCGACTTGCTTGTGATGGTACCTCTCAGCCGTGCCGGCAATCAGGTGCCCAAGAAAATCTACCTTGACGTCTTCGGTCCATCCGATACATCACGACGCTTCCGCGAGGCTCACCACGCGCGGAAGCGTGCGCCTTCAGTCGAAGAATCCGCTTCCGAATCCGCGGTACAGCTCTGTACCATCGAACTTGCGTATGTTCAACTTACGCTGGCTTTCCGACGGCATCCCATACTCGTTGAGGCCCGGGCGCACATAGCTTGCGGCGGAGCGGCTTGTTGCGGCGTCGGTGAGGCTGCATACGCCCGCGGACGTGGCGCATACGCTGGTGCGCGATGCTGCGCGCGCGGGGTGGCTCGAGCTATGCGAATCTCAACGCGATCAAATCGGTCGCGCGTTAGTATTCGCGCGGCGCCGGTCCCTTCTCCTCCGCGTCTCCGATCGCGTCAATCTTCATCAGTCGACCGCGCATGTTGGCGCCGAGTTTCGAGGCGAACAGGCCGCTCTCCACGGCCCCGAGCATGCGCTCCTCCTCGTCTCGCGCTCTCTGCGACGTCTCGAGGCTCGCCAGTCGATCTGTGAGTGCGGCGAGCGCGGCGAGGATCTTATCGTCTTGCTTCCCGCACTCGCGAGCGGTTACATCGTCGACGACTGCGGGTGCGGTGGGCGCACGCGCTGGCGAGCCGCGTCTAGGCGAGTCTCGCGGGACACCCCCTGGTGTCTTCGTAGTCGGTTCGGTGGCTCCGGCCATTGGGCTCATAACCTATAGGCAAGATGCGTGTTGCGAGAAGGAAGCGGTAGGTGAACAATAAGATTCTCTATTGCTTCTTACTAGTTATCTCTTCTGTCTGCCTCCTAGCCACTCATTCTCCTAAAAGTCTGTGCTCCAACCGTCTCAACGACAGATATTTGCTGACCAACTTTTCTACTACCATCTTGCACTGACTATCTCTGACCAGATTAACGGCTGGCGCTAATCGAATTCAGGATCTTCAACCTCAACTTCCAACAGGAGCAACTACCGGAACCAGGTTCCCCGATTAACTTTGAGAGACTAGCACATAATAATCGAGCCATAATAATCAAGCACATTAAATCACGAGCAGCCTACGCCTACTAGTTCACCGCGCTACAACACATGATAATTATAGCAAACACTTTTGCCCGGCCATTCGTTCTGCTACAGAATAATAACTGTTTTCGGACTTCGTCATTCACCTTTATTCCGAGCAAATTTGTTCCCGGTGCGCGTTTGGTACTATTGATGTTCACGCCGGCCACAAGCCATCCAAGTCTCTCAGCTGTTGAAAAACGGGCCTCTCCCGTCATTAAGCTATGCCGCAGCTATGATGCGTCCTCCGTCCGTCAATGTCGGATTTTGCTTGGCCTCCGCCTTGGTGCAGGTTATGATGGCAGAAACAATCATAACAGCGAAAACGGCAGGACGGCCAATTAGATGTTGAGTTAGAAGTCATCGAGTTCACGTTGAATCAGGCAAAGGGAACATAGAGATCTAAAATGCCTGGGTCTTAGATATAGTGAATGAGCTAATCATATGGCCATGGGTTAAGATGGTGAGCGGGTGTGGCGTGGTGTGGTGGTGTGATGGTGTGGTGGTGTTGTGCCCCTGTGATTATTCAAACAAAAGTTTTGGTGTGGTGGAAAGAGTAAACAGCGTAGTGGAAATAACAATTGCCTTTATTTAACCCTTACGTGGTTGCAGAAGACCTGGTAGATCTTTAGCCTGGTTCGCAACGCCGGTTCCTCGTTCGAGTCCGGTGGTTGTACGGGGCTTGTCACCAGCAGTGACGTTTCATTACAGCCACTTGATGTTGCTACCAATGCAAGAGAGTACGATATATCAGAATCCAGCTGATAGTGCCAGCGTAAACTCGACAGCGTCGAGGATGAGACGTTGTCGAGTTTACGCTGGCACTATAAGAGCACGACCTAGGTTGCTCTGACGCGTGAAGGCGTTGTCGTGAAAGTAGCACAGAACGCCCCTCTCGATAGGTATATGTTACTTATCAATATGCACCTCAATGTTTTGGTGATGTAAAGCTCGACTCCAATAAATATCGGCTTCCTACATGACACGAGTCTGTATTGGTACTTTCTGGTGGGGAGGGGAATTGCTAGCACGTTGCAGAAGCAGCATTAAGTGCAAGCATATTTCTGTTGCAAACATTCTTCTACGACAGCATATCAAGGATATCCTCCTCCTCTAAATCCATTGCTTCATCGACTTGTGATACTGGACACAACGTCTTCTCTGATTCAGATTGTGGCACAAGCGTCGGCTCAACCTTCAAAGCTGCGGTCTTTCTCGTTCGCGGCTGTGTCGGCTCAGAGATTACAGCCCTGCCACATCGACTATTCCCTTCTCTCTGAGTCACTTCATCCTCCTCCTCTTCATTCTTAATAATGTCATCCATACGCGATAGCACGTCTTCCGCAGAGCTAATCTGCACCGAACTCGACCGCAAATTCGGTGGTAGAGCACTATACGCATTAATTGCGTCGTTCTTTGCACGTTTTAGCTCATCATTGTCATCGTCATCCTCCTCACGAGCTACACAATTACCCTCATTGGACCCATCACTCATCTCTTCGTCTTCTTCCTCCTCCTTCTCCTCCTCCATCTTCCTCTTTAATTTTGCCCCTGTCGCTTTCTTGTTCCCTTTCGGTGCCACAACTTTCCTTTTCTTCATCGGTTGCATCTCATACTTGTGCATGTCCTGAACCTTCTCAATTTCAAATTGCAGTCTCCGTATCTCATCTTTCTTGGTATTCAATACAGCACAGAAACCCTGGAACAATTCGTCCTCGACCTTCTGTTTGGCTATCAATGCCGTCTCCAGCAACGTCTCCTTCTGTTTCAACACCGTCTCACAATGTTTGACTTTATTTTCTGTCTCCAGTATCAATTTTGAATTTTCTCTCTCTTGCGTTGCCACCTGATGCAACAATTCTCGCCACGTTGCCACATCTTCCGACGCTTGAAACTCGATAGCGCAGAATTTCATGGCAAATCCTGCGCGCTCCATGAGCGTCAACGATCGTTTTTGCTTCGACCACCGAAACTCAAAGCGAGATGATTGGTCCGATGATGACGCCATCAATGCCGACTCCACCGCTGCGACATATTCAGTGCCTGAGCAATCGAGTGCCCGCGGCTTGTGAGAGGAAGCGACGTCAGCCTCGTATAGTGTCGGTGGATCCACCAGCTGAATGTGAATAGACAGAGGTGTACCCTTGAATGAAGAAGTGGAAGAGGTGGTGCGACTACAATGCACAAAGAGGGAGAGAGAGGACGAGGAGTTAGTAGAGTCCGCATCTACAGCATCAACCTCCGCCAACGACATGACGTGGCAATATTAATTGTATAGAGAACTAATAATTAGTCTAATTTTGATGGACCACGTTATATTCACGCATTGAGCGATTAGAAAGCAATTCGATTCCAAAAGGCAAAATATATCTTCCAATTGAGCACTTGTTAGAGAACGATTAGAATATGTCACACGCTGTGTGAAGCCTCTACTTGTCACTTGCATATGTGATCGCTTTTGTAAAGGTTGAAAGTAAGCTGTAATACCACATTTGTCGCAGCTGACTTTTTGAACTTTTGCATTTGCAGTTGTCGATAAGTATCACAAGTACCAACGCTGAAACTTTGAAGGCATCAAGGCTGTGATTCACAGTGAGTACCCGACAATTGAGCTTATTTGGCAGAAGACTAACCAAAATGCACTTGTGACTATCAAATAGCCATCACACATATCATCATATTGCATTGTTATCGACCGGATTGTTAAGAACGACTTTCAAGACTTACTACTTAGTTTCTTTGGTGAATGGCAATCATGCCGAGGATCATCCAAGAATCCACCACAAACATGGTCTAAGAAATTGTTTTGACCCTAAGGGAGATGGATGAGGCTGGCAGGAATAATAAAAGTGCTAGAGGTCAACAAACTGCTCTCGAGTCAAACAAGAGCCTGCTATATTTAGCACTTGCCCTTATAGGCTAGGCTACTTTGCATTTTATACTCGGTGATACAATGGATACGCTGAAATCTGCTTGATGACCCCCTCAATCCATTTGCAAAAATTGTTTAGCCTTCCTTATGCAGATTCATCTTCACGTTGCACCTCTAGACACCTCGCAGATAAAGTACTACCTGGAAGACAAAAGTATCTTCTCTACAACTGTGAGCAGACTCAAATTTTACATAAAGTCACTCAATCGAGGGACGGACAACCATGATCAGCTCACTAAGCGACAAGAGTGCGCTGGTGCTCGAGCTCGGGGCACGTTACGCCCGATGCGGCATATCTGGAGAGCGTGCACCTCGCTGTGTGGAACGTTGGCAGGTTCGTCCGTGTCTTAAATGGTGTCTTTGCTTTACTATGTCTGATTTAACATTGAGTTTTTACAGGTGGGGGAGATGCTGGAGACGCCATTAAGTGCCACTAAATGGCGTCAATATCTGTATTCAAAGCTCCATACTTTGTGCTTTGAGTACGTTGTTTCGTGTGCTATCTTTCGGTGCAGGTTATGACTGGATTCTAATTGATGCTGCTTACAGTTTGTTACTTGTGAGTCCGACGCGTCGACGCTTTGTGGTGTGTGAAGATCTCCTGCTGCCTCGAGTGTTTCGAGAGACGCTACTGAGTGTTCTCTTTGATGTGTTCAAGGTAAGCTGGTAGACCATGTGGCTATCTGTACACTTAGAGGCTGAAAAATGGTGAATCTGCTGTCTCTTAGGCTTCTGCCGTGACACTGGTGCCGTCGATGTTGACGGTGCTGTATGCTACGGCCAATCACACGGCGTTGGTAGTAGACTGCGGCTGGTCGGAGACGCGGCTGCTTCCAGTGTATAAAGGCATTCCTCTTCCTTATCTTTATCAAAGTAGGCATTGTCTTTCCTATTGGAGAAGACAGACGGAGAGCTTACACAGCTCGCTTTATGCGCTGCTATTGTTTTAGCTGTATCCGTTGGAAGTCGAAACTGCTGTCAAGTTATCCAACGAGAGCTGAATTCTTCCCGTGATCAGCCGATGGACACCTCCAAAGTTGTCACGCCTGTGACGGAAACCTTAGCAGAGGATATTCTAGAGCGAGCGTGCTTTGCGCAACAAAAGGTATGATCTAACAACGAAGGTAGCCACGAGTCTTTGCTAAACTCGGCGTCTTTGTGATGCTTCTTTGTGCATTAGGATCCATTGCTGAATGTTATTGACGCCGACTTTCATACGCAAGGCAACGACGTGCTTCAGGTTGGTTTACGACGTTTTACACACGTCGTTTTTCCACAACACTTCAAGATCGATAATGAAAGGCTGATAACGTTTGATACTTGACAGGTTCCTGGGTTCTTGCGTACTAGTGCTGTGGAACAGCTCCTTTTAGGTAAGTTGTGTTTGCTATGTAGCACTGCATTACAAAAAATGTACATTTCCACCGCTAAAATTTATCCATTGCTCAGGCGACGAAGACAGGGATGGGACATTTATTGTTGATGGTATCGTTCAGGTCTTGAAGAAGGCCCCTCTTGATGTAAGAGCAGCAATGCTGGAGAACTTGCTTTTGGTTGGGGGAGCCGCTATGATCCCTGGTAAGCTTGATGTAAGGAGCAACTTTTGCTATTTTTGCAACGCTAATCGGTTTGAGTTCGGGTAGGCTTGGCCCAGCGCGTGGTGGACGAAGTACGCGAGCTATTACACCATGACAACGAGTTTGCTTCAGCTTCAGTCGCTGTTGATAGAGCGCAGCTTGTTCCGACATATTTTCCTCGCAACATGCTTGCGTGGGTAGGGGGTTCAATTTATGCTGCCACTGAAGGTGCACGTGTCTCGGCAATTTCGCTGGAAGACTACAGCAGTTCTAAAGGCACCTGCATCCCCGATTGGCTTACTGTGGCTGAAGAAGGATTCTAGGAATTAAACCTGCAGGTAAGACATTCTGTATTTTGAATGCTGAATGTATCTCGTTTCGCTGCAATTACTGCACTCTGAGCATTAGTTGTATATTATGACTTTCTCCGCTGAAGTCGACGGTAAGCATTCTGTTATTTTCTGGTTTGCATTCAGATTGTTTCTTTCCAGTTTCGTCCGATGAAGCTGTCATACCAAGATTGCGTAATGTCTTGACGTTGGCCGCGGCTGCACTACTGATAGCACTTAGGTGGGGGCAACGAAATGGTGCTGGCTGCTGCTCTTACGCGTTTACATTTGATGGCACTTTTCACGTCTTCCATAAGGTGATGGACGACGTGCAAAACGACTCGAGCTTTTGTGCACGAAGCGATGCAATTGGCGGCAGCGGTATCCTCTTCGTCCGCTTCGCTAATTTGTTTTCGACCTGTCACAGGCTAATGCGTCGCAACTTCTGAACTCCGTTGCGTGGATTTACGTTGAATGCCTTCCTTCTGGAGCGAGCCTTCCAATGCCTACTTTTCCTAGCTATTTTCAGGTAGACGCAATAAGGGTGGTCGCGTTTCTACATTACAAGCATGACACCACCAATTGGAGTCTTGCTAGCAATAGCCTGATATCTTAGGCAACGTAGTACAATACTCGACTCTTCTGTATCGACCACGGCTCTTTGTCATGCAACCTCTTGCCCAAGATCGTGAGCAAGAGGTGCACTGCATATCTTGAAATGAGGCATCGTGGTCTCTCTACCAATTTGGGTGCCTGTCGTGCTAAAACGGACGTAGCAAGCCTCGAACGGACTGACAATATTACGAACCAGTCGAAGTTGTCATTTGTCGTATTATCTACATGACATCCGCGGACTGTCTAAGCGCAACAAGATCGCTCTTGCGCATTTCTTAGTAGCAACGCTAAAATATGTGCGGCTGGCCCCAAGCACCGATGGGCTTCAAGGCAACTAGTGCAGCGACCGGAGATGCAGCGGCTGATGAGGCAGACTGAGAGAGAGGCTTAGCCCACGCGTTTCCAGTTGAGTGGGTACCGGTAGGCTGTAGAGCTGGGGTGGCAGCACCACCTGGCGGTGGACCCCAAGCTGGACCAGGAGGAGGAGGTGGTGCCTGACGACGAACATGCGAAATATGGCTACGCGTGATGCGACCACGCAAAATGGACTGGATCTTGGCCGCAGCCTGCGCCTCCGTTAGTGGCAATGCCTCCGGGAAAGTCGTACCAATCTTTGTGTCCTTCCCGCGGCCAAAGCTGAAGCACTTGATGTTGCACAGGTAAGGCCCAAGCTGCACGTGGTTGTTTTCTTGGCCATTGAGAAAGCACATCGTATACAGGGCGATCTCGAACTCTGGACTCACTCCGATCAAGCTACAGAAACATCAAAACATGTTAATATCAGCGGGCTATCAATTCAGTTTTACCTCGTCAGTCGCACCTCGTTGACACGAGCTTCGTTTCATCTTCCCACTGGAACTGGAAGGTAAGAAGCTGCTCCTTATTGGTCGGCTCCATAAACTTGCATCCACGCTGTCTAGGGCGGATGTAGCCCTTGTAGTTGATGCGACCATTGCGCTCCTCATTGTACACTTGGAGCCAATTGTGGCAGCCGCAGATCTTGCCCTACTCAGTAACAATACAACACGACCAAACCTTATTCAGCAAGAGATACATTGTACATATAGCAGCAAGATCAACATGCAGACTCACATTTTTCTCCTCACCTACAAACACATGCTCAAACCCTGACGAGTCGTTGCGCGCTTCACGTCGGTACAGTCCAAACCAAATAAACTCCAGCTTTTTCTTGAAGTCCTTGAGGTCTCCCGTAGCCTTGTGATTCTTTAACAACCACCTGTCATTGCAATCTCATTGATTACTTATCACGCAAATACTTCAATTGGTCGCATGTAAAAAAACAAAGGTTTTTCAACATACGCGTGCGCATAACGCATGGGTGCCGTCTCGATCACTGCGTTCAGGAACATGTTGTTCTCAGCCAGTTCCTTAGGTGTCACTTTCTCAGTCACACCCGTCTATTCTCAAAGATAAGCAGTCAACCCACAATGTCAACAACATTCAAAAAGCTTTAGTCGAGGGCGAGCTCGCACCTCGCGTTCGTAATTGTCCAGAAGTTCAAACAGCATTTTGTACGTGGGACGCTCAAAGACGCTCGGGTCGACGAAGGTGAAGAGGGGGTCACGTGCCATGTCACTACGATCAAAAGCGTTCTTGCCTTCCTGCACATTTAGTTCGTAGTGCACATTGGGCTCCAAACGATTGGTGTCAAGCTCCCAGAGCTTGTTACACGCAGCCGAGAGGCTCTTAAGCTCTGAAACTACAGCAACAGATGTCAATATCAAATTGTAAGTGTGTTAGCATTGTAAAGAAACAGAGATACATCATTATTGCAGTGTAATTGCCTACAAGTTGGAATGACGCTGGTCATTGGTGGGTGATGGTGCTACGAGTCGGAAGTCAGTCGAAAACTGAATTGCATCCGTCTTGACTGCCTTGAGTGTTTGATCCTTCCATACCAAATGACCTGGCTTATAACGTCATCACTTACACCAAAGTAAAGCTTAAAATCCTTCAGCATTTTATTAATCTCTGTAACTTAATGTGTTATAGTAATATAGCAATTAGGGTTGTTTTTACCCACGGAGCTGCTCAATGATGTGCATCCCCCTCCCACTCTCATTTGAAGCTCGTCTCCTTTCTCGGGTGAATCAACCAAGCTCCAAGTTCCATGTGGGTCCGTCCCAGCGTGTTGCATCTGCGCCGGTTGCTCTTCTCGTCTACCTATGGCCACCCGCGATCGTCTCGTGTCTTTACATCCGGCCGCGCGGCATTGCAGGCGGTTGCAGCACCATCCACGCCCATGTATGAGTCAATTGGGGCTGGACACGGCCACACTTTCGTTCCCGGTATGGGCAGCTTTAACCCTCCTACGGATGACCAGACTACCTATTCGGACTTTTTGCCGTTGGTGCCACCCGAGAGTTTGCGCGTGCAGCAGGTTGTGCAATCCGAGCGAGACATGACGGTGGGTCCGTCCTCCTTCACCGCCATGTTTCGGGATATGTCACCATACATTAACTTTCATCGGGGTACCACAATGGTTATCCATTTACCTGGTCAATTGGTTGAGTCCAATCTCTTTGGTGCCGCGATGCACGACATTGCACTGCTTAACACTTTTGGGGTGAAATTGGTGTTGGTCGCAGGCTCTCGTCCACAACTGAACCGACAATTAGCACTTCGGAAACTCTCACAGAGATTTGATTGTGGTATGAGAATCACGGGCCCTATGGAGCTCCAGTGTGCAATGGACGCTGCCGGATCGGTGCGATTCCAGATTGAAAGTTATTTGGGGCGAGGGATTGTCAATTCTCCTGGACGGGCCAGAACGATCAATGTTTCTTCGGGCAACTTCATCACTGCGCAGCCCGTGGGAGTTCGAGGTGGCGTGGACTTTAAAAACACTGGCGAAATGCGTCGACTGAATGTCGAAAAGGTACGCGCTACACTGGACGACGGCGATATCGTTCTCATAACGAGCATCGGCTATAGTGCCAGTGGTGAAGTCTTCAGCTGTCTTTCAGAACACGTGGCTAGCAAGTGCGCTGTTCAGTTGGAAAGCTCCAAACTCATCTTCATGCACAACGGTGAGGAGTTGATCGACTCGCGGTCGAACACGGTAGTACAGACACTTGTGGTAGAGCAGGCACAGCAATATTTGGAGCTAGCACGGCAGAAGTCGGATATTAGTGGAGACTTTCTGTTGTACTTGAAGGAGTCGATCAAGGCCTGTGTGAACGGAGTCAAGCGCTCGCACCTTGTTAGTCGACATGTTGATGGTGGCTTGCTGGAGGAGCTCTTTACCCGTGATGGTGAAGGAATTATGATCACAAAGCACATGTACGAAGGAATTCGGATGGCCACCACCAATGACATTGTCAGCATCATGCGCCTCATTCAGCCTTTGCTGGACGACGACGTGCTGGTGTCCCGCGATCAGGAACAGATTGAGAGCAACGTGGACACATTCACGGTCGTAGAGCGAGACGGTGCTATCATCGCTTGCTGCACACTACAACCGTACGAGAACAACTTTGCCGAGATGGGCTGTGTAGCTGTGGACCCAAACTACCGCAACTTGGGTAAGGGCAACGCCATGTTGGGTTACATTATGCGCAAGGCAGCATCCATGGGCATCACGCAACTTTTTGTGATGACGACGCGAACGGCGCATTGGTTCTTGGAGCGTGGTTTCGTGGAGGCTACAGTGAATGACTTGCCTCCATCGAAACTGGCCAAGGTCGACCTCAAGCGCAAGTCGAAAGTCTACATTTGCGACATCAGTACAAAGAGGGCTTTGGACGAGAAGGAGCTTCTTCTTCAAATGGAATAATTCGATGGGCTACCAATACTCGGTGTGCTATCAACCAACATCATGTCTATCAGTAATGTCATTAGATCGGAAAATAAGCGAGCAGCTAGTCATATTTAACTCACAGCGGCATATCTCCTCCAAATGATGTCCGTGCACTCCTATGCTCCTTCTCCCCATCTTGGCCTGCCTCGGACTTTTACTGACGCAATTTTGCAAGTCCGTCTCGTGTGTTGGCAGGGGCAACCCGTGCATCGTTGGAAGCAAATGTGGGTATACCCATATGTAGTTGTACTCGCTTATAACGGAGCACTTTACGACGCGTAGCACGCAAGCCACAGCTTTGCCTTGGCAGTTGGTTTCGTCTACGGTCGTGTCAATCATTTGTGTAGGGTGAGTGTCTGCTGACAACTTTTGTAAGCGTCAGTCATGTGCGGTACTTACTCGTCAAGATCAAGCACACTTACTTTTCGATACCACAGTAAGGACTCTGCGGCTCGCCACTTGCCGTTTCGATGACCAGCCGAGCGCAGACACCCAAAAACTCCTTTGGCATGCCAGGCACTGCAGGCCTGTCGGTAAATTTGTATCATAGCTTGTTGTAAAGCAAATGAGTAAAGCCGTGAGATGGTAGCCATCTCGCACATCATGTGCAAATGCTTCCGTTCGATGCAGCTTGGTTGTACCAATACAGCATTGAACATTAACCAGTTCACAAACCCCCGAATTTTGAATACTTCTTTTCTTGCACGCAGATCCTTGAAAACCTGTAAAGCAAGCGCATGTTCCAGCACTGCAATTACAAACCTTGATGCTTGAGTATTCTACATGAATGTTACGGGCAGTGACGGTGTCCGCACAATCCCGTGACATAATGTTTGATGGACGTACTTCTGTATATGGAACCAAAGAAGGATGAATAGCTGCTTTGCAAACTATATTATTAGGACATTTTAAAGATGTTAACAAGGCACTAGCTGTCGCTAAGTCAAGTGTGGTAAGTTTCGTGCAGTATAAAATCATCGCATGATCGTACAAAGGTCTTGGATCTACTATGGTATCCGCGTGAAAGCGCGACTAATAATCGCAAACACAGCTGTATTATCTAGCGTCCGTCTGGCCTAGTTACCAGCCAACACAACACACACAGTGTTCACGGTGAGCAGTTTCAAGCTTACCGCTGAAAAAAGACTGCTGCTGTAGCAAACTCGGTGGATGCGCCGTTTGCATCCTTGGTACGAATTTTGTGACGTTTGCGGTCCTCGTACTTACAATCAGCGTTGTACGATGTCAAAAAGAGCAGCTCATCAACGTGGCCGAAGCGGTATTGACAATCCTACGGGATTCGAAATGGCATCGAAAGCGTGATATCGTTCATGATTCTGTAGCTGCATCCGGCACACAATAATTATGTCTCTTTATTTAGTCGAAAATGGGTACGTCAAATCAATATATGAGTAAAACAATATTATGGGATAGTAAAATAATAATAATTTACATATATTATTGTAATTGCAATAATATCGGATCTCCAGAATGTTCTAGTAACAGAAATTATCAATGTGGTGTCGAGCTCTTGTCCGTTGTTCGTCGAATCTGCGATCATCTCGCGCAACTTCCAAGTCGCTCTCGTGTCAATCTTTCCGTCTCAACTCATTATTAATACGTCTACGCACCTGCAGCGACAGCTCCCAGCAATTCCAGAGCTACAGCCGCTTCTTTACCACTCAAAATGAAGACGACAATGACGCACTAAGTTCGCCTGCTACTACGAGTAACTCAATTACTTCAGCCACGGACTATTCGGGAGTTCCGGGTGTTGAAAGCCCTGGAGATAAATTTGTGATGGTTTACACGTGTAGCGTGTGTGAGACACGCTCGGCCAAGACAATCAGTAAACACGGTTATTACAAGGGTGTGGTCTTAGTGCGTTGTCCAAAGTGCGAGAACCTGCATTTAATTGCTGATAGATTGGGCTGGTTTGAAGATGACAGCACAGATGTGGAGACTTTACTACAGCAAAAGAACGAGAAGGTCCGATTCGTCACAGTTGACGACGTGTTTGAACTCACGGAGAACGACATTCTTGGCAACAAGAGCTAAGGAATACGACGACAGAATACAATAACAATTGAGCATTTCCATTTGAGTAACCGAGGTCTTTTTCATAAGCTACCCTACTCTACCTTTGTCTCTTGCCCTGTATTTTTCAAGTTTTATTCAAGCTGCCATGGGAATGGTGGTATTCTGGCTTTTGTCCAGCTCATCCTGCTCGAAGTGGCTGTGCTGGGTGTATATGCTATCCCTCCGCCAGGCGCTGAAGCCACGCCTGCCGACCTTCACCGCGAAACATGACTTGCTCGTGCGTGTTTACCTGCACGGAAGGGTTGGCAGACGCAAGCTTCGTGGTCTTGGCGAGGCGCGTCGAGTCGATCATGCTTGTTTCTATGTGGTGCTTGCGCTTTTTAATCTGGTTGTTGTGACGCACCATGTGCTCTGTCAAACTCTCTTCTTTTCCATACGCACGTGAACACACAGGGCACTTGAACCACTGCTTGCCGTTCTTCATCTCGATGATCGGTTGGAGATGCTCCGGCAACACCACAGGCGACAAGTTAGATCGTAAAGCCTTCTCTTTGTCCTCTTCTGGTTTACCCGCGCATTTGTGAAACTGCATCCCACGGCGAGCGTTAAACTTCATATCACACAGCGGGCACATAAACGGATGTAGTTTCTTCTCATCCACTGCCTTGTTTGGTGGAAGCGCTAGACTAGCGATGCCTGCCTGTCTTTGTTGGCCAATGCGAATTCCATTCTGAGCAGAGTACATTTCTTTGCTAGTTTCCATATAAGCCGCGATCACACAGCCTGCGACCATGGCATCAAACTGATGCACATGCTCACGAACGTCACGAAACTCGGCAAACATTTTTTTTGCGCGACTGCCCACGATCTCGTGCAGATCCAAGTTGCTCATCGTGTGATCGATCAAACGACACGCTTTTTGTTTCATCTACAACGACGCCATTGACGTGAGCAGACTTTTTTGTGACGCAACATTCTCAGGAGGTGAAATATGAACAAGACCACCGTACCTGGTCCTTGTAGCCAATACGCGTCCTTCGTTCATCCTTGCCCATCTGACTAAGATTCATTTCCACGAATTCTGCTGCACGTCGTAAATTTCCCGCCATTTCACCATCCTAGATCAAACCAGCACGCGTGAACAACGTGTGCGTTCACTCCACCGTTCACACCCTCACTCTCAAATTTACCTGCGAAATCAGCGTACGCAAGTTGTGTCCCGTTGAGAACAACTTATTAGGCGCAGGTCCATGATGTGACTTGTCCTCTTCACCTTCAAACTTACGGTACGCGCTGCCTTCGTGCACAATATGATCTTGCACCACAGTACCACACCCATTACCATCCAGTCCATTACAGATCGTGTCGCCGCGTGCATAATCTGTGATGAAATTGTTCTGCTCTGTATTGCCGCATGTCTCGCATCGAAACCGCGGAGCTGTAAACCGTCTCAACCAGCAATAACAAGGAAGCAAGAGTTCGTTACCATCTTTACTACATCAAAATCCGTGACATCGGTGCGTATATTAGCCCAGCAATTACCTGTTTTCTGCTCCGCATCGAGCTCCGAGAACTCGTCAGCGTCCGACTTGCCTGCCTGCTTCATCTTGCGGATCAACAGCATCACGTCGTTCACTTGAAGTTCTGGCACTAACAAGTTCACGATCCGTTCCTCCATGGGCAGTGCCGGCTCTTCTGCTTGTCTAGCAGCTTTAGCTGCAGCTGAACGAGCTGCTGCTTCTTTCCTTGCAGCTTTCTTAGCTGCCTCTACTTTCTTCTTCTTGTCGACCTGTTGACAGCATAAAACAGCGTAAAACTTCCGTACAAGACCGCCATATTACGTGATTATATACTGCCTATTTCATACATCACATACCATGATAAGAGGCTCATCGTCTAACGAGGGGTGGCCGCCAGTATTCGTCTCCGCTTGAGCAGCTCCAAAGCCAGCAAAGACGTCGTCGGCACCGCCGTTGTCTAGCGCTGCAAAAAAGTCGTCGGCACCAGCATCGAGGTCCATTTGGGACAAAGGTTGCTAGTTCAGGTTCCACGTAGAGTAGGAAGCTGTGTTTGTAAGGGAGCTGCAGGCAGAGGCGAGTACACGGACTTCTTTATGCCCCACCTCTTCCATACAAAGTCAATTGGAAAATGAAGGACCTAAAAGATGGTGAGAGAGTACCGTAGTATGTCTGTCTAACACTATCAAACTGTTTCCATTAAATGGCGACGACAAATAGGTACAACTGTGAAACAGATGAGCAAGTTTAAGAGGCAAATTTTGTAGCCATGACTGGTGACTCGACATAGCGACATGCCTTCCATTGACAAGTTGCTTAAGATCTATTCCAAGCTAGCTACAACATGTGTGTTGTGGCATAGTAAGTGGTAGAAACGGCTATTGGTGTGATGAAGCGGCGATCGCAAATTTCCTTATGCGATCCCGACTCCCCACTGGGACCCGAACGACCGACTATCAAAAGACGTACTCCTTCTTCGGGAATACTTGCCATCCTCCACTTGTGTACCCGTCGGTAGGGCGGGTAGCACTGTGATATAGTGATTATTAGAAACGGCAATTGGTATGACTAATAATATAAAAAACAACAATTCGCCGAGTAAGCCGGCGCAATTGAGCTAATACGTTCGGAATAACTCCCTTCGTATTTTGTCCCTTCCGGTTCAGTTGCGGCTTTCGCCCTAGCTTAGTCCCTACAACCAACTCTTCAGAAGCCTGCCTGAGATCAGCAGCTTCTGTTCTCTCAAATCCTGTGACCTCACACCAATGGGTGGACGCCGGCGCGGTCGCGCTTTTACAGGTCACCAAGCGCAGTTTACGCCCGACTAGAAGGGTTACGATGCCCTCGGCTGAGGCCCACCGGCTCGTCGATCGACGATGCTTTCTTTCGCTTATGCGCGAGCAATGCCCCAACCCGGGCCGACTTATACTCTTGGCGCTACCAGCGGTCGATAATCCTACAAGCTATGCCTCTCGAATTTCGACGGCAGGCATAATCCAACCCCTGCAGGGACTTACCGTAAACGTTACACGTGTCCTAGACTTGGAATATTCTGCTCTCTATTGATTTATCTCTTTTTCTACTCCGGAGAGCCTTTTGAGTGGCTCTCCGCTATTCCACTGTTTCCTCTATACAATTATCTAGTTAAGGACAGTCGATCTTCTACCGGACTCGACGAACGACGGCTCGACGAAAGAAGGCTCGACGAACGAAGGCTCGACAAGACAGGGTTCGCCGAGCAAAACTCGACGAGCCAGAGTTCGATTAGTGAAGATTCAGCTATTGTGGTGAAGTCGACCAAGAAAAGTTTGATCAACGACATCGAAAGTGATCATGTGGTGAAGTGCCAGGGAAAGTTGAAGTTTAAGGGAGATGGAACGAAGAGCAAGAGAACTTATGGTCACTTCCCCGAGGGAGTGACCACGACCCGGCCTCGCGGATTTACAACCACACACCAGGCTCCGCAGTATTAAGAATATAAGGACCCATACGTGCGGAGTCAGCACAGGCCCCAGGTCCCTGAAACAGGTTCCGGGGACCCAGGAGCCCAGGGGTACAGGGAAGACCCAGGGGTACAGGGGCCCAGGGGTACAGGGACCCAGGGACCCAGGGGCCCAGAGACCCAGGGGCCCAGGGACCCAGGGTCCCAGGGACCCAGGGGCCCAGGGGCCTAATGTCCGAGGGTGCAGAATCGGTACACAGAATATCGAAGATTACAGAAAGTACAGGTACCAAGACTCTGTCTTGAACAAGCCGTTCCTGAGGTCAAACGAGTCCGTTACATCGAACAATGAGTGTGATGGGGCGTGCTAGCACCCACTTTTATATACAGTGAAAGTGACCTGCTTCCCAAACGTTACCGATACGTGATCTACGTGATAGGTAGATCAGGTAGGACTGCCGTGTCATGCATCACGACAAATGTAAAGCACTCGTGACCATACCGTTTATTCAAACAACAATAATTCAACGTTTTCAGCTATACTATGTTGACATCCTTTTTCGTCGATGGAATTTCTTTAGCGGCCACAGCCAGAATGTTTAGGCCTAACGTAATGAAACTCGCGTTGTACTCAATCGATTGCGCCATAAAAGCTCTTCCACAGCTTTCGATTTCACAATGCTTCCACTTCATGCTTTAAAACAAAAGTGTCGAGAATCATGACGTAAACAAACGTTTTATCACAAGTGTATCATCGGTATATGCTGATCAATCTTTCAAATGGTAGAAGACGCGCTTAGTGCAATGCACGTTGTATTCCTTCATCAACACATCGACCTTCATATGCAAGCGTCAGCACACTCGCACACACACACAACATAATATATGCACATACAAGTACTTTGTGTCTGCTGCCATTCGATGGGATCTTCTCAAAAGATATGGGAACATGTTAACAAATAAAATATCAGTCGGAGGCCGTCGTAGAAGCCATGCATTTTGCGAGAAAGTGCGAGTTTATTGTTTGGATCATGATCGAATTTGCCAAATTGACTCTTGTACCGATTGCATTTCTATTTCGAAATCAAGTGACAGCTTTCTGCCTTGTTGTATGGATGAACGAGCCAGTCCTCTTTGATTCGAGTACAACAATAACATTCAACTGAGAAGTCTAGAATCGAACGGCTCGTATACGACGAAACGGATAATAATGTGGTCTACGAAAAATCTGACTCCTGCGGATCATAGTCGAGAACCATGATATGCTGTAGTTCAGTAGACACAGCTTCAACTCGTGTAGATTCGCAAGTGATAATTTGGCTGGATAATTGAGAGCCAAGCACGCGGACCCAAATCCAAGGCATTCCTATAACCATTTGCGCTGTCAATTCGTCCTCTTCGTTCTGGTAAGAGATTCAAGAAATTAGCAGTCACATCTCAAAATAAAAGGAGGGGGGTGGTAGGTGTCATGCACGCTCTAACTTCAAAATTCTGGGGTCACTTTTCCATTAGCCTTGCGTTGTCTTTCTTCGCCAGGAAAAGCTGCAAGTCAGCCGCCTCGCCCATGGATCCTGTTTGGCCTTTCGCTTTGATGGACTTCTTTAAGTCACCAACCGACTGGCTCGTGCGGAATGTCCACCCCGTACACGCATCCCGTCTCACCGACGACTACATAGAAAAGCTTTACTATCTATTCTCTTTTAGCAAATGAAAATGATGGAACGGACAGAATTATCAGATGAAAATATGGAAGAGAAGGTCTGCGGTGACTAAGGTCGAGATATCTCTTTCTCGTTTTCATTTATCTGGTTCGCCAAGACGCTTTGAATGTATTCCGATTCTTAGGTCCACAAAATCGACGAACGAAGAAACGATTATAGAGGAAAAGACACTCTCCGAAGCTTGGCGATGGCTAGATTATACAAACGATGGATTACACATAAAACGAATTGTTTGCATAATCCAGCCAGCACCAAGCCAAATTTTGCATCCGAGTGCATGTCTGAACATGAAGCCTCTTATTTTGCATCTTGCTGGCAGACTTCTGTACTCCCCTTCATTGTCGGCTATCATGACCAGCCAAGCCCTGTTTCCATCACGTGATTTTTTCATTATAGGGTATACATATTAACGAAACAATATATTCAAACGAACATTTAAATAATAAATTATAAATCATTAATCTTAAATCAACATTTAACGAATCAAATGTTTGCAGTGCTCATTCTTGTCGCGCTGGTCACATGGTCAGCTGCGAGCGTGCTGACCGCAACATCAATGCATGGCGATGATGTCATGCGCAACTCTCACGCATGGGATACGCTGGGTGCGGCCTCTGTCTTGAACAAGCCGTTCCTGAGGTCAAACGAGTCCGTTACATCGAACAATGAGTGTGATGGGGCGTGCTAGCACCCACTTTTATATACAGTGAAAGTGACCTGCTTCCCAAACGTTACCGATACGTGATCTACGTGATAGGTAGATCAGGTTGGACTGCCGTGTCATGCATCACGACAAATGTAAAGCACTCGTGACCATACCGTTTATTCAAACAACAATAATTCAACGTTTTCAGCTATACTATGTTGACATCCTTTTTCGTCGATGGAATTTCTTTAGCGGCCACAGCCAGAATGTTTAGGCCTAACGTAATGAAACTCGCGTTGTACTCAATCGATTGCGCCATAAAAGCTCTTCCACAGCTTTCGATTTCACAATGCTTCCACTTCATGCTTTAAAACAAAAGTGTCGAGAATCATGACGTAAACAAACGTTTTATCA